GATGGCGTACCACAGTGTACGGGGGAAGGTGATCAGGCTAAGTTTCTATGAGCTAGAAGCGAACACGAGTGACCAACGGACCTGCTCGGAAGTGTCTGCTGAGTTTGCTCGGCCAGCATTTGATCCATTGACGACTGCCAGCTCCCACAAACGGGTCATAGTCAGGTATGGCCTCGGCTACTTGGGACTTGACAAGAGGAGCGGAAGGGAGGATTGTTGTGCATCTCCCACTCAACTCTTGGGCAGCCTAGGTTTCGCCTTACTGCCGTGCAAAGACTTGAGAGGGTGAAAAGCTGATCGAAGTCGAGCATATGTATAATCCGTCCGAGGAAGGAAGCGCACGCCTTTGGCTGAGTGTGAGCGAGCGAGAAAAGAGCAGTTGACATCAACAATGCATTGTCCACGAGCAATGTGCTATGCTCACTAGCTCTCGCCTCTCTAGTGAATGTGACCTCGGCGGATAAAGGTTAAGGTCTGGTTGAGAAGATGAGTGGGCAGGCGGAGCTGATGGGGAACGCAGATACTCGAGGCTCTACTTGATGAAAGAGGTAGATGAGGGGGTTGTATTAAAGTCTTTGACCCCTTATAGTCTCACTTGCTCTGAGAATCCTGAACTCTTCCTACTCAAAGTAATGGCTCGTGGCCCTAGCTGGGAAAAACTTTCCCCAATCAAATCCGTTTGAGTTTTCCCTCCGCTCCCTGTCTTCCTGTAACGAGCTTCAATCGTCGGCTCTGAATCTGTAGACTAAGTGATCACTTGATAGTTACTCATTGTCAGCCGATACGAGCTATCGATTAGTCATGATTGAGAAGCGTTGATCACATGGTCGCACTTCAGGTAATTGAAAGGTAAGAGAAGGGATACAAGAGAAATGGGCAAATGGTATGCAACGAGACCAAAAGTCCTTGCGTTCTATAGTTTAATGAAAGTTGGTAGGCAGGCTAGTGGACTGGAGGGAAAAGCGACCATAAGCATCTCGCTTTGCTCGTTTGTCAGATAAGTCTCAGTCCATAAGATAAAACTAAAATAGAAAACCCTGCCTATACTTTGCAAAAGAAACATGATCTTGGTACCCTTCGGTACGAACGTGTGGACGACAGATGGGAAAGAAACGACCAACACCGAAAAAGATAGCGTATTTGCTCACGAAATTCCTGGTAGACGGGGACTAGTTCTGTAATTGACTAGGACCGATTGAGCAGTGTCCTACCTGAAGAGGCTGTCAGCAGGCCTTGGCGCGGGGATCTGGCCAACACGCTGATCTTGGACTCAAGTTAACTCTCTTGTTTGCAGAAGCATATATCAAATTGAGTGTGTCCACAAATTGCTTGGTGACTCTCTTTATTCTTGTTTTAACGCTGCGATAAGATTGGTTTACCCAACCTAACACGAGGGTCCAGTGTTCACCCAATTTGCCATCAAGAAGGAGGGACTTTAACGTCGGCCTCGTGACACTTAGTCGGTGGTAACATCAACTTACCCTGCGTGAAGTAAGCAAAACGATAAGTTCCGAGTGACGTTTCCCCGTGTTGAGATGAGAGGGATATACCCTGCATACCCCTTTAATTAGACCCTTGCTGATTGGGTTTTGGCCGGATTGAAAACGGATGAGCGTCAGTAAGAGCTTCGTTTTCAAGCTCGTCAGAGACCTGTGCCTCCTACGAGTAGGGATTAAGAAAACTTGGTTTATCGTGCAGAATTAGCAGGGACAGTCATGCGCGACGTTGTGATCGGCCCTTCCTCCAGAGTAATGGTGTCAAGCTCAGACAAATTTTCGCACCCGAAATAATCATGGTATGAATGGTTATACCCTGAGTCCGAATCTGTTGCTCTCGAGTAATAGGGTCACTAATGGGAAGAGTTGTCGTTTGGGTGTTAATGCCCAAGGATTCTGACCCAACAGAGTCATGGACTGCACCCCTGGTTCTGACTACTAGGGACCCAAGAAGTGGCCTAACGGCTTGCAACTAAGAGTTTTGAATTTGAAAAGCTATCTTCAAGCCTCTGGCATTTGTCTGGAAGTGAATTTGGACATCGCCTAGCCTTATGGGGGTAACTTCTAGGTTGTTAAATCCTGAATAGTAACAGATTTGCTCGGACAACCTAAGTGGCTAAGCGATGCACTAACCGAGGGCTGCAGTCGTACTCGCAGTAATCACAATTACTTGGGACCTAGTAGCAGCGACGAAGTGGGAAAAACAAACTCAGTCGTGTTCAGAAAAGACAATAGTGATCCATGGTAAAATAATGGCAGCAGCAAATGAGCTTGTACAACTTGCAATGGAATGAGTGTGGCGTTGTAACTCCTACGCAGTTCGGTTTGCTGAAAACGGTGTCAGTTACAGCCAACATATGTTTGGTGCCACAGTAGCTTAAGCATTATCACCTGTAAGATTGACGTGATATTAGACCTGTACAGGCTGTCAATCATCTCTACCATCCTTGCCTCTAGTAAGCTGGGATTCAGAGAAAGAGAAAACCATGAGAGAGAGTGAGATCCTAGTGATGAAGTGCATAATCAATAGAGACAACAAGGAGGGATGGGTAGAAGATGCTTGTCGGGACATGATCTCCTATATGCATTATCAAAGGGAACTTGTGATTGGGTTGACTGAAGGGAAAAGGTACATCGAGTACGTATTTTATTTCTACAACAGCGATAACAGAATGCACAGTACCGGTTCATTCTCCGAGACGGTAGAGTCGACCCGAAAGAGGGCTCGGGTAAACACTGAGAATACCTGAACTTTTCCTTAAAAGCCTCGCACTAGTACTTCAGTTAACAAGAGTTTTCGGCAGCCAGCAGCCCTTTCTGGTGGTCAGTGTTCGGTGACTATTACCCTAGTAAATTTCCAACCAGCCGGGTTGCCAGAAGCTTTAGCTAAAGCAACAATCAACAATATACAAGCAACATTCGGTAACATTCAAACAATTTTTTTTATGAAGACTAAAGCAATATTCAGTGGGTATTCAAGCAACATTCAGTCAGAATCAATCTGCACACGGTTGATCCTTTTCCCTCGCCTCATCGGATATCAAGGCATTGCTCACGCTAGTGAGCGGAGAGGTATGTGACATCAACCAGCATACACATGAGCGCAATCCAGTCATTCTCAATCCGGGAGACTGTACTGGCCAGTCTCAACCGGATTGCTTCAAAAGATGCTTTCCAACACCGTTATGTCAGTGCAATCGGTTTCAAACAAAAGAACCTATCCATTTATGTAGTCCACACTGAGTTCGCGAGGGTTGCCATCCATGACTTGAGGGTCTTCTTGAAGAAGGGTAAGGAAACTTATGAGCGCTTCGACTCAATCTGGATCGCAACTGTCAGACACTTGGAGGAGAAGGAAAGGGAGCTCGATGATAATGGTATCAGACTAATCCGCAGTCTTGGACCCAAGCTCTACACTGACTACCCCAGACCTCCAGTTCCCTTCCTTCTCACAGATGGCTCTTGCTGGGGAGACTTGGTGGACTTGGCCAAGAGGTACATTTCCCCTGCAGTGATTGACTACGAGGCAGTGACAGAGCCTTCCGAGTTCCCGCATCTCAGGCGAGGGATTTTCTCACGGCCACATCTTCTAACTCTATGGGGGGAGTTTTGTGCTATGGTTGATTTCCGTATCATGGGACTTGGATGGAAGTGCTCGGAACTAGCAGGTTTCAGGTGGCTCTACATACAGAGAGCACAGTCTCAGAGAGTACGGAGACATGGCCGAAAGCCCAAGCGACAGACAACAAAATGGGAGATTGGGTGTGAGGATTCAGAGGGATGAGTGAGGACTCTTGATTGGTGTTGGCCATGCTCTCTACATGTGTACTTCCTGAGACTATTATGAGTTCTTATTCTTCCCTCACTTAATTTTGTCATTGCTCGAGTCGGTCAGTCTTGCTTCGTGCATTGCTTTGCTTGATGATTGCATTCTTTGATGATTCTTTCACAGTTCTCAGAATTAGTGAATTGGCAAAATTGATGTATACATGACATATTGGAGTTCTATGATTATTATTTATATGATCCTTTGTTGTTTTGAATCAAAATAAAAGATTCCTAAGACCAGGGACCGGCGAAGACCGCAATTGAAGGGTCTCGCTCGAAGTCGGACGCACACAACAGGAAGGGATTTGCTTTATTTAATTTTATTTTATTTATAGCAAACATCCTCCAAGACCCTGCGTGACAGTCTGTTGGCTTTCCGGTCGCCTGAAGTGGCCCGACTCGAAAAAGTGCGACAACGCGTTGTATCCTCTCTCTCTGTGTGACGAGGGCAGGGAGGATCCCCCAAAGACATCTCCATGAAATCTCGCATCCCCATCCCTGAAGGCCCCCTCTCTCCTAATGGCGACGCCCCCAGTGCCGTCATCGTGCCAGAGGTCAAACCCGCTAGTGCGGGACCCATATCGTAAGTGATAAAACGCTGGACGATCGGGTCAAGGTGGCCGCTCCCCTCTCCACTGCCATGGCGACACCCCCCCTTACCACCCCCTCCTCTCCCCCAACCAATGCATCAGCATGTGCCCTCACCACGTCCTCCTCTATCTCAACCTGCGCATCGTCAGTCATCATCTACCCCTACCACGCCCTCCTCTCTCTCAACCTGCGGCCTCACCACGTTGTAGGGCCAAACCGTGGCAGACTTTCGAGCCAAGGCTCGATCCCACTGCGGGTCCCAGTTGGCTCAGCCCGCCCACGCTCATGCTCAGGGCGCGGGCCATTCGTCCCAGGGTCACCCCCACCTAGTGCTTTGAGATGGATGGGGGTGGGCCGTCGAGCGAGAGAGCTTTGACATCGGGGATGTAGCTCAGCCCTCGCGCCGGGTGGTAGTCTCGCTGGTCGAATCAGATGGCGCTGATTTTCTGATTCTTGGTTGTGTTCTTAAGCAAATGCTCCTTCCAGTACGCAGGCAGTCCTGGGGTTCTTTGAGAGTTCCTCTTCTTTTGTGCACACACGACCCTTCTATGCATTAGGCCTTCCTCTTTTCTGAACAGGTGCCAATTTCTTAGCACGTATTTATCGGCTTCCTCTCTGGCCTTGAGGCTGACCTCCTGAGCCTCCTTGTTTCCCACTAGTAATAGACCGATCTCCTTGAAGATGCCATCGTGTGATTGGATAAGGAAGAATTCCTTCTGATCTCGGCGATCCTCCTGTCCATTCTGCACTTGGTTTACCAAGTATTGCTGATGCTTCTGTTCCCATGACTCAACCGAGCTCATAACCGCCTCTCGCCCCCCTTCTACAACCATTGCCATCAGTCCTTCCTGAGGCCCCACAATGTCGCCCAACGAGTCTCTCTTCCTTGTGGCCGATTCTTGTAACTGCCCCTTCCCTGAGTTCTGCCACCACTGCAGGAGACTCTTTCTCTAAGGTCTTAATCAGCAATTCCCCAGACGTGCAAGCAGGTTCTATCATTTCGTTCTCTACCGCAAGGGTCCCTCCCTCGTAGTCGAGGAACGCATCGATAGGTTTTGCGTCCTCTACTCCTTCCGGTGAAATGCACACCCTGCTCAAGCCGTCGGCCCTGTTCCTAGGACCGGCTATGCGCTCGATCTTGTAGTCAAACTGCCAAATCAACCCCACCCATCTTCCCACGGTGGGGTCTATAGGCTTGTAATTCTTTAGAGCCCCTGGGACGTCTGTTGGATCTTTTCTTAAGATGAACCTCCTCTCAAAGAGGTAGGCTTGGAAGGTCTTAAGGCAGTGGAGAATGATCAACACTTCTTTCTTGAATTGAGAGTAGCGACGCTCGACTAAGTTCAACGTCCTACTCTCGAACCTGATTGGCCGTTCCCTTCCATCTTCCTCTCTTTGGATCAGAACTCCTCGCACGGCTAATGGTCCCCAATCGGTCTCAAGCACAAACGGACGCCCCACCTCATCGTTAAAACATGGAGCGGCAAGGGTGACCTGTTCATATGTCGATATGTCTTTCAAGGTCTGGACGACGCCTTCTCGTTCTTCTGTCCAATCGAGCGTGCCCTCTTTGCGGATCATGGCCCGAATGGGCTCGGCTATCTTTGCAAATCCTTTGATGAAAATCCTAAAAAATCCTACAACCCCTAGAAAGGCCCTCACCTCCGTTGTGGTTCGCAGGGGCGTTGGCCATTGAGAGATTTTGTCAGTCTTGGCCGGATCGGGCTTCCTTCCATATGACCCGCAGCGAAATCCTAGGATGGTTACTTCCAGCACTGCTAGGATGCTCTTGGGGCCGGTGGCAGTGATGTTGTATTCCAAGAACCTGCGGAGAAACTCTTTGATATCCTGCAGGTGGTCCCACACAAATTTCTGTATCCCTGGTTGGATTTGTGTTTCATCCTTATCTCGTGCGCCTTTGATTGGATTGTCGTCAATGTACGGTTCGCATTTTGCGGGGAACATATCTTCCGCAACTGCGAGCATCCTTCTTTGTGCTTCCGCCACAGCATTGGTGAAGCCCATAGGTGTCACTTGCATTTGTAATTGCCCTACCGGGGTATGCATAGCCGTGTAGGGTCTATCCCGAGCATCCAGCGGGAGCTGATCGTATCCAGAATAGAGGTCTACCAATGAGTAAATGCTTCGTCCGGCGTGAGATTCTGCCAGCAGGTCTGCTTGAGGCAATGATCCCGCGTCCCGGATGGTGACAACATTTAATTTCTGCAGGTCCTAGATCCACCTAAGCGACTTATTAGGTTTCCGGAACACAAACCATCTATTCGCGTACGGTGACGCGGTGGGTTGTGCCATGAAGGAGTCCATCTTTGCTTTAAGCAGTTTTGTTACTTCCCCTGCTACTCCAAAGTCGTAGGCAGGCCCCTTGTCGTTCCACTATGTGGATTATAACCGGAGGTATCAATTTCGCGTGTAATCGTCCCTTCTGATGGTCGTTGAAGGCAAAAGCCAACTGGAACCCTTGGCATGTCTCCTTGATCAAGCCTGTCTCTTATTATCTTCATGGTCTCTGCTACTTTGTTTGGTATTCGATGCCCCTCTGTTGCCCTTCTTCTCTAATCACCCGGAGCACTTCCTCCTCCTTTTCCATGGCTTCTTCCTTTGTTGTTTCTAGCAGGACTGAGATAGGCTTGGCCTCCTTCCCTACTGGCTTGTACTTGCGAATGCTTCCTTCCGGGATCTTTCTCCTAAAAAATGAACAGCCGGAATTGCCCGAGGTGCTTCGGCAATCCGAGGCTGGATACGGATTAATTTCCCATTCAGGCAGTAGCCTTTTCGGACTTCTCCCTCAAACTTGGCGAGTGTCGCGGATCCACACCTAGCTTATGGTATCTGATAGCCTTGATGAGGTGCAGTAAGTCTGGGACTTTCAATGTTATCCCGGCCTCCTCGTCCTGAACCTCCTTTGGCCTCGACAAGTTGGCCCCTAATTCGACCTCTGTCTCTTTCTCTACTACCATTACTCCCAGGGCATCGTCCTCCTGTCTCCGCATTTTCTGTGGTAGCCCCATTTTGACCCACTGTTTCTTGCTGAATGCCTCCTCGATCATAATTTCTACCCTTTCCCTCATTCCTTCCATTCGTGCAAAAGCCCCCTTTCTGGCACTTTCTTCGAACGATGGTGACCATGTCGCTAATTTCCCCTTTGGCATGTCACCGCCTGTCCCGATGAGACGAAGTAGCTCACCACGTCCTGTCACTGGGTCTTCTATGTCCACCATGTATGTTCCATCATGCAGGTGCATTCCGATCATCTCTACATTCGCACACCAAGGTCTCCCAAGGATTATGTCATGGTCCATTTCGTCCATGACGGTCATCCGTTGGAACGACCAAATAGATTCCCTACCCCCGGCCTTGGCTGCGCACTTAGTAACATACACGGAGAAGGGAATTTCCCCGCCTGCCCCACGAACGCTTCCCGTTGTCTCTTTGTTTACTGAACATCCGGTAATCTTTGCAAAGTCTTTCCTAACGAGTGTTATTTCAGCCCCTCCATCTACGAGCGCATCGGTGTGGTGGCTTCCGATCTGGACTTTCAGCTTACCCACCGGTAGTGCATGAAAGCTAAGTTTTGTCCCTGGTGGTGCCCTCATAACCTCGCCACCTTCACGGTCTGGCAGGCTTAGCCGGATGTCTGCGAAGGCCTTCTCTAGCTCATCCAGGTCCCCGGGGATCCTTTGGAAGTTGGCGACTTCTCATGATGCCTCCTCTTCCTTCTCTTCCTCCTGCTGTTTTGTCCCTTCTTCTACCTCTATTCTTCGCCTCGCCAGTAGTTGTCTAAGGCCTTTCAGGAGCTTGGGGCTTGCCTGCAACATGGTTTGAAAAGAGACCGACACCATGGTCCCTAGCAGCTTGCTAAGGGTGTCATCGATCTCGGGCATAGTTAGAATGAGGATCTGATACCGAAATTTTTTTTGGCCGAGGCAGCTTTGTCTACCGAAGCCTCTTCTCTAGGTTTTCCATAAACTTTCTCTTGCTCTTGTGCCTCAGCTTCTTGTGGCATCCCCGGGCCATCCCCAACATTTTCCATGACGGCGTCCTATACGACCTTCCTTTCTGCTGTTCGCTGCCTAGTGGTCACGTTCACCCTATCTCGCACGTCATTCTCTAAAATAAAATTGGCCTGTGGCCCGCGGCCCGCATCCTCGCGCCTGTTCCCAGGCGAGCTCCGCCACGGGCTCGGCCTCTACTGTGGCGACGTCGAGGTTGTTAAGTGTGATTACGGCCCGGCGCATCCCACCCGGGGAGTTCCAATTCACTTTCTCTCCTTGGGGGCCTATGATCTCTCCTCGTAACGTCCTGGAGCACCTTTTCTGCATGATGTCATGGTGAAGTCTTGGACACGCTCACACAAAGTGTCCGACCATCGTACAATACTTGCATTGCTCATTGGTCGGATCTCTCCTATTGAACCCCCGGTTAGCTATTCCTGCGGGAGCCACCGCCTCTTGTGGTGGGAGGGGGGGTCGAGCTGCTTGGGTTTGCGTCACTTGGGCTTGCATTACCATCAACGCGTTCTCTACCCTTTCGATCGTTCCATCTACCCCATGGACATGCTCGTGCTGACTTTTTATCCCTCTCTTTACCTTATCGCCTGTCTTACCGGTTAAGTCTATGACCTCTCCTTCCTTCAGCAAGGCCAATGAGTCGGTTACAACCATCTTCTCAACAATGTCTGTTACGGTGCTGAAGTCGACGTCCCGTGTATTCATAAACTTTGTGGTCTGCTGGTAGGCCGATAGGATCTTATCTTTGTTGAACTCAGTGAATTGCCTGAGGAAGTATTTACTCATTATGCGATCAGTTACCCTCGGGACTCACAATGCTACGAGGGTGAATTCCCTCAGGAAATCGTTATATGTTGCAAAGTTCTCTCTACTGCAGCCAGCTCTGTCTCCGTAGCCATTTTCTCGGTCGCCAGATATTTTCGCATCATTACGTCACGGGCCTCCTTCCAGGATCCGTTGGTCACGACGATAGCCAGTATGTCCCTCCCTAGGTTTAACGACACATGCTGCCCTAAGTGCTCCATCTTCTCTTCCTTGCTCCACCTTAGTAGTGCTGCCAAATTTTCGTTGTCTATCAAGAATTTCATGATATTAACCCCGTCGAATGTCAGCTTCTTCTTGGTGTCGGCCAGGTATCCCTGATTTTTATTTAGCGCCCGTGTGAGGGAAGACACCATTTTCTTAAGCCCCCCCTCGGTTCCTCCTGTTCAATTGGTGGTGTCGGAGCCTTGTTCTTCCTTATCGGTTCCCACCCCTTCTCCGAGCTTTGCCGTCCCTTCCGGGTCGAACCGGCGTAGCACCCTTTCTCTTAAGCTCCAAAGCCCTTCGCATCCCCTTGCGATTATGGGCGAAATCGCTGGTCGGCTTGCCCCACTGTCTATGGCCGCCGGGTTGGTAGCCTTCTCCGCCTCCTTTCCTGGGGACTCCGTTCTCTCCTTTCCTTTCTTGGTTGGCGTCTCCCTATGCTCCCCAGTCCTATCCTTTCTCCTTTTTATAGTATCTTCTTGGCTCCCCCGCCCCTGGTTTGTTCCTTGATCTTTATTCAGCCCTTCTCCGGCGAAGTCCCCCTCGCCTTCGTTCATCATCTCCTCCAGGAGTTTTGCTTTATACTCCTCCGTTCTCCTTTTTATCTCGGCTAGTTCCTTCCAGGTGTCGGTTAGCCTTACCTTCTTTGACAGCGCGCCGTCAGATGCTCGTGGCGCCAGACTGCCTTTACTCTTATCGCCCCTAGTTTCTTGAGTTCCTCATTCGCTCCCTCCGGCTTTTCCTAAGCTTTCCTCGGTTGTCACTTCCTTTCTTCCTCCCTTAGTACCTTCTGGATTTACCGATTCTCGGTCCCTCACGGACCCCTCGTTCTGCTCTACGTCCTTCTCTGTGCCCTGACTCCCCTTGCTTCGCAGGCTTCCTGCTTCCTCCTCTGTCGCCATCCTTTTCTAATCCTGCACATAGGAAAAAAAAATTCCGAAATGGCCAGTTGTTCACAACTTTCCAGATTTCCAGACCCTAAGGTTTGCTACAGTCTCCCCACGTTTGCCATTTCAATATTTTATGTTTTACAGTGGCGGTAGCAAGCCTGTCCGCCTTCACTTTGCGGGGTACCTCTTGCCTTTCCTGTCGGAAAGTCTGTTGCCGGGTTTCGGTGTTTTGTCACCACCGTGCCTCGGTTCTAAGGTGGCGTGTCCATGGCGGGTGGGTCCTTCTTTCGAAGATGACCTTTTGCCTTCCCAGCCTATGGATACCCCTGACGTCCTTGGTAGTAGTGGTCATTATAGTCCCTTTCTGGCACACCCGTAGATGGCGTAGGACTCCAACCACTACCCCCTCCCCCGCAGATCACTATTCTTGCTTTTGTCTCTATCATCCCATAGCTAGAGTTCACCTTTGCCACCTTCCCAGACATTTTTCTCACACCGGTTCCTCAGGCCCGTCTTGTTCGTCAGGTTCTTCGAATAGGCTAGCCAACCCCGCAAGGTAGTTTTCCCCCATTCCTATGTCTCTGATAATTATCGGCTCATATTCTTCAAAAGCCAAGAGTGGCACCCCAAATATCAGGATCTCGATGAGTTCTAGTAACTCACGGGTCCGATTTCCCCAAAACGGACCGTGTCTTACCAACACATCGTAAAACATTCTTGTCGTCTGTGGCTGGAAATGGTGAATCCAGGTTAGGGTTGAGTTCACCAGTTCTCTTGCCCTCGAGAGGCTGCCAAATACCAAATCTATCATGAAGCGGGGTACTTGACACCGCAACCCTGCCATTGGGGCTCTAAACTCTCGCCATCCTCCTACTTCCACCCGGGTTCTTAGCCCCACATTTCTTCTCCCCCGAACTTCCTGGCCTATCCGGTTTAATGCCCTGGCCGCCCTCTGGAAGATTGGCAGCAGTCCATGCCCTAGTGCCATCTCGGTTCCTAGCATGTGCCAACCAATCTCAGGTAAGTACACAGTCCTGGTCACCCTCAGGTCGGTGTATAAGTCGTCTCCTGGCCCCCTATTGAACCTCATGCCGCTCCATAGGCATTCCACCATCATGAAGGTTTGGTCCCTCCCCAAGGTCACAACTCTCCATTCCGTGTCAATTCCTCGGACCTCGTAACTCGCTGGGAGCGACACCTCCCATCCGTTACTGCTTTCCGTGGGTGGTAGAGGGTGCGTGGGTCGTCGCGACGTTCGGGTGCGTCTCATCGCCATTGTCGGTTGGTAGGTTCCTGCATAGTTCAAACAGAAAGCGAATTCCTCTTATTTCATCCGCTCCCCTAGACATTGCTAGCTATCCTCCTGCCTTCTTACCACATCCTTTTTGTCGCCCTTGTTTTTCCTTTCCTCTCTATTGGCCTGCCTCCTCCTCTGGTCGCTCGAACAAACGATGAACATCGTTTAGGTAGGTCATTCCGCGACTTACCTCGCGCCTAATTACTCTCCACATGGTTTCATCATTTATTAGCGGGGCTCTTGGTCTAGTAGTCACAACCGCTTGTAATATGCATAGTACTTCGTACCCCTGTTTGTCCTCAAAGGGCCCCATCTCCAGGAAGGGCCGATAATATTCTTGATACACCTATACTTCTTCAAAGCTTAGCCTAGCCAGTGCCGCTACTGCTTGCTCAACTCGTTCTATACCTCCCATTTGCCTTAGTAGGAAGGGCGGCAGGCTCATCCGTACGATTTCGTTTGGTAGGTTAAAGGTTTCTGCCATGACGGTCCCTACTTCGGTTGTTATGTCGTCCCGTTCTGGATCCGCGAACTTGAACCCCTCTCGCCAGGTTGTTTGCCAAGCCCCCTCAAGTATACGTACGGGGTCTCCTCCAGACGCCAAGGTGATCCCAAAGGTGCGCCACCCCTCTTCTGACAGGTACAGCGAACCCATGGCGTGTACGCGTTTCGGAAGATCCAAGCTCACGTCCCCAAATTACCCCCTTGCCCGCCATTCCAATTCCACTACTAGGTACACCGTATCTTCCACCAGCTCTACCCCGACCCAGTCCATCACCGGGTTGCTCACTCCGTTCCTGGCCGGCATGCTTATCTCTACCCCGCCATCTATCCTGCTGGGCGTCAAGATCTCTCGCGGCCTATTTTCCCACAACACCATTCTCCGAGCCATTTTGTGGTGTCTTCCTCCACGCCCCCCTTCAACCGACCGCTGCACTCATCGAAAAAAAGTTCGCGCTTTCCTGGTTTAGTCTCCTTTTTCCATTCCACGACACCGTTTTCCTGCCTAATGGACATTAGTTCCCGACGTTGTCCCTACTTCATACATATTATGATCTCGTCTCCCCTTTGCCTAAGTGCTGATCTTTCGGCTATACCCATAGTACCTCGAACAATAGGAACACATCTCCTATATACGAGAGGGTCGCTGCCACCTCGCGGCGAAGTATCGCATCCTCGGCCCCATCGTCCACCTCGAGTCAGTCTTCCTTAAAAATTTTCAGGATGTCGATGACCTCTCTTGCCCTATCCCCGTGGAACGGTCCCATTTCCAACAAGATCTTGTAGCAAGCGTCGACTAGCCATGAAAAGTTCAAGTTTACTTCGTCTAAGGTTTTTGCCACCGCGAGGATGTGTTCGTATCCTCCAAACCAGTCTGCTACAAAGCACGGCACCCAGACCTGAACTATCTGGCACGGCAGCCTGAATTCCTCCCACCCTCCTATCGCAACGCTACTGCTTACCTCATCCCACCCTTTGTTGGCGAATTTGTAGCCCATATTACGAGTTCGTCGCTCGGCCTCTCCTAAGATCCACATTGGGTCTTGCCCAGACGCCAACGTTACGCAGAACAGATGCCACCCCCTTCTTGAGAAGTAGATCGTCTCGAGGGCTTCTACATTTCCCTCAGCTATGTCGTCCCATCCTTCTTCCTCCCTCAACCGGTTCCATACTCTTTCTACTCATACGAACGATAGTGCTGATGCGATTGCTTCCCCTACCCAGTCACAAGTCGCTCCTCTCCACTCATGTCTTGTTGGTAGGGCCATCTCTACTCCTCCCTCGAACTGTCTTGGCTCCCACCCCCTAAACATCCGGTTGTTTAAGCGTTGTTCCCTAGCCATGCTGGTACCCTGCACAACGTCGACCACCCCTATCATTTTTGCCCTGCGGACCCTTTCCTCAAAAGTCCAAGTCTTCGATTGCATCATTTTCGTCTTCATCGGTAAGATCGTCCTCTCCCTCGTACCATAGATCTTTCAACCCGTCCACAAACATTTCTCCTATCGCCACATTCCTATAAATTCTCTTCCAATGGACGGAACTCGGAACAAACACCTCAATCGTGTTGAGGCACTTTAGTATCTCAGCCGGTTCCTTTGCCCAATTTCCTTCGAAGGGTCCCATTTCGACCGATAGACGGAAGAAGTCCTATCGAGCGCCCTGGTACAACCCGAGGCTCGTCATGGACTGGCATATCCGCACCAGCCTACTCCGGGTCCCGAAGACAGCGTCCACCAAGAATGAAGGCACAGTGCAACTCATTATCTTGAGCGGCCGCCTTACGTTCCCTCTATCTCCGAGTTCCACCCGCACATCTATCTTTTTCATTTTCATTTCCACCCGCAGACACGCAGCCCGCACTACTTCCCGTCTCGCCTGCCTAAATAATTGGTACGGGACTATCCCTAACGCCAAGTCTACCACCATTGCGTTCTCCCCTTCCTTGGACAGGTAAATCCAACCCCGGGCTTCCACAGTCCCCCGAAATTCCAAATCTGTCAGGCTTGGCATTAGCCGGGTTGGGCTGACCTTGGTCCACTGTGTTTCTATCCAAAGGAAGGCATCCCCGCCGCCCAACATTGTGGTTTGATACGCCGGCTCCAAATCTGTCTAGGTCCCTTCCTCCGGCAAAACGACATATACCCCGTCCCTAACATCTATTGGCATTTCTGGTCCGCTGGAATAGATTGGGGATGACAGCCGCCACGCCATCTCGGTTCCAGCACTCGACCCTGTTTTTCACAGCCAAACACCGCCCCCGGTTCTCGGGTCCGATCAGCCTAAATCCTGGATGAAAATATTTCAGATCCCTCATCAAGGTCTAGCCTAGTTTACCTCCCCAATTCTCAAATTATAACCTCCTTCCGATACCCCCAAGTCGCCCCTCTTCACCCAGCTCATTTTCTTGGTTTCTTTCAAGTTGACCTCTATCTCTTCGTCTCATGATCTTCACTCACTCGTGCAGACTTAGGCAGGGGGTGAGAATAGACTAGAATCATAGCCCCGCCCAACAGCTCATTCGCAATCATCTTTACAGAGGGGGATACAAAACACGAAAACTCAGGCAATCTCACATACAAGGGACGGTCATCTCCTCACCGGCCTTTTCCCCAAAGTGGTCTTTCTACTGTTACCATCGGCAGAGTTTTATCCCATACCTAAAGCACAGCTCAATCGTCGCGAGCGAGGTACGCAGGCTCCGGCACAGGGCATCACCCCTCTCCGTTTGCCCAAAATACCCCATCCCGTCTTGTCGCTCTTGCACACCCCATTGGTACCGGAAATCACCCTGCGCACCTCGCTAGGAGCAAAAGTCAGTCGTCCGGACATTCACTTCCATCGGTCCGATAAAAATCAGCCTTTCCCAAACCGTATTACGGGAGGCTACTAATCGTCTTCGAGACTCCCTCCCTGCCTCACATGAAGTGGTCCTTCCCCGCTAGCCGACAAGCTAAAGCCCCGCCTGAGGAGACGTTTCGCGTTCCGTCTGGGCAAGGTGTCGAGCCATGCTCGGTCCACCCGGGAGAGAGTGCTACTAATCAACCGGCGAGACCAACTCCTGTCCGACAGCTCGGTGGCCCGACCTCCACACATGGGACCTGGCGGCACTACAATAGAAACGATGTTTCGCAATCCCGCACCAGCTGGTGCAGACCCATCCTTTCCTTTCGAAAGGCAGGACGCTCAATTTCCCTCATGCAGATCACAAGTCCCAAGCGGGACATACATAGAACAAGTGTTTTTCCCAAAGGTGCATCCTGCGCAACCTACCCAAATCTCACAGTTTTCTCTCAGGACAGTGTGTGCCACTCCCCCTATTCTCCATACACAGTGGTTGGTTCCTTCTCATGAGCATCTTCAAAGGTGAGCTAGTTTTCTTTGGAGTCTAGCAACTCCCTTCTTTCGCAAGTGCCTTCCTTCGTCTATCCTTTCATAGGGTAGGATTGTTCCTTCTCGATGACCCTTGTGTTCATGTTGGTTCCCTCAAGCATTTCAAGTGTATAGTGCATGAGCCCGCTGGGCTAAGAGGAAGAAGGGAGAAAAGCACCCAGCCGGTCGGATCACTCGCCGCGGGATTTCATTGGACCTCGGCCGAAGCTGAAGTACCAACCGCCTGCCAGGTAACCGGAGCCCTTCTTTCATACGAAGAGGAAGGGTCGACCTACGACTTGCCCAAAGCTTCCCCGGACTGGCGAACACCAGCATCAGAGGAAGGGGGGCTAGAGCTACTCCTCAAAGGAGTGAGCTGATCAAATGTGCAATCATGCATGTTATACCTCCAGGTCTGGCCATGCCATGCGCCCAGCCACCCTCAGGTCTGATTCTCTCAAGGGAAAGAGCAAGCACAAGTCTGATTTCCTTCTCCTTAGTTGTGTACACGGTCTTGCGTTGGGCGCCCCCTTTGGGATCGCAAGGGTCAGTTTAACCCCATGCCCGAAACCTCCACCATTTTTGTAGGGCCAAAGCCCGGTAGACTTTCGAGTCTTGGTCGACCCCACTGCGGGTCCCAGTTGGCTCGGCCCGCCCACGCTCATGCTCAAGGCGCGGGCCGTTTGTCCCAGGGTCACCCCCACCTAGTGCTTTGAGATGGATGGGGGTGGGCCGCCGAGCGAGAGAGCTTTGACATTGGGGATGTAGCTCAGCCCTTGCGCCGGGTGGTAGTCTCGCTGGTCATTACACAAGCGCTGATTTTTTGATTCTTGGTTGTGTTCTCAAGCAAATGCTCCTTCCAATACGCAGGCAGTCCATGGGTTCTTTGAGAGTTCATTTTCTTTTGTGCATAGGTTAAGCGTCATCCTTAGGCCACACACCATTTCCCTGAACACAACAATCCTATGGCGTCATCGGGGTGCGGCAACGCCGTCTTTCCCCTCGCCTCTGCGCACCGCTCGTGCCTCACACATTCCATCCATTGTCATTGGTGCATGCCCCTTAGTCCTTTCGGAGCTTTCATACGCATGCACATGCTACTTCACATTTCGATCAGCAAAAGTCCCACTCCTTTCTTTCATTCATACTCCAAGCCTCGTGGACAAAGGTCTCTTTTCATGGGTCGATTTTACACTAAGGGGCCCGTAGCCCCTTTGCCCCCTCTTCCCTTTTCTTTTGTCGCCCGACTTCCCCGGCCTGGTCCCGCCCAAGGCATCCCAAGGCTTACTCACCTGCACAAACCCACACAAAGGCAAAGACCGATGCAATCCCCCATTGGGGTCAACACATAGCCCTTCCCGCATGCCGAACTTTCTTTTTCTTTGGTTTCTCTTCATTCTTCGTCCTTTGCTCAATCAGTCCATCCTCTTCTCATAGTCATGTAGTCGGGGAAATGGTTGAGTCAACCGACCTTGCTTTAAGTACGAACTTTGTCTAGTCCCTTTTTCCGGACTTGACTTCTCTCAATCGCTCACGTGTCTTTTCCTTTCCTTCTCGGCGGCGCAAGGGACCGGCAACCCTCCCCTTGCCCACTTTTTTCGCCAAGTGAGGACAATTTTTTTTCACCGTTCGTTCCCTGACAATGTAACAAGTGAGTGTTGAAGGATTAGTTATATGCCAAATGGTGGAAGGGGGGTAGGGTAAGATGGAGAGAGAGAGAGAGAGAGAGAGGGGGGGGGGAGAGAGAAATAACTCCTACTCCTAATCAATTCATCCCCTATTTATCCCCACCACCCTACCTAAGGTTTTCCCTCTATGCCTTGCTTCTTTGCGCCCCCTTGGTCATGGCCCTTTGGTTGGGGAGTGAGGTGAAGAGGGAAGGAGGTGTAAGGTAGTTGGGCGTGGGGAGTGGTTGGAGAAGATGGAGGGGAAAGACGACGAGGTGGTCGGCTATGGCGGATGGGTGAAGGAGATGGGCGAGGGAGATGGTGTGAGGTGATTGGCTATGGGGGATTGGTGAAGAAGACGAAGGTGGAGTGAGGTGGATGGCTATAGTGGATGGGCGAAGGAGATGGAGGCGGGAGGTGGTGCGAGGCGGATGGCTATGGTGGATGGGTGAAGAAGATGGAGGGGGGGGGGATGATGCGAGATAGATGGCTATGGTAGATGGGTGAGGGAGATGGAGGAGGGAGATGGCGCGAGGTGGATGGCTATGGTGGATGGGTGAAAAGGATGGAGGTGTGAGATGAATGGCTATGGTGGATGGGTGACGAAGATGGAGGAGGGAGATGGTCTGAGATCGAGATCTAGACGGTGGAAAATATTAGCACCACTAGTGCGAGCAAACGGCACCGTCGAGATCGAGATCTAGACGGTGGAAAATATTAGCACCACATTTGTTTGTGTGACCATTCCTCTCGGACTGCAACTGTGGCCTTCTCATGCTCATGAGAGTCTCCGTTTGCCTCTGTTTCTTCCAAATGGTGGCCCCTCCTACTCCGATTTTCTCCCGGAGGCCTGTTTTTCTCATGGAGCCTCTTTTGGCTCCATTTTCTTAGGGGAGGCCAATCCGAGATTTTTTGAATTGCTCCCATGCCTCTATCTTCATGTTTTTTTGCTTTTTCTTTTTCTTTTGGTCTTCCCGTTTGTGCTAATATTCTTGGCCGTCAAGATCTAGATTTTGACGGTGCATCTCTCTTTAATTATTTTCCCCTCATGTTGCTTCGCCGTTTCTCTTGAGACCTTTTCATGCCCCCGCCACCTGTCTCGTGCTAGTCCTTGATACTTGTCCCACCTGGCGGTCCCCAACACGTTGTCCCGTCGGTGGTCCCCGACACTTTGTCCCGTCGGTGGTCCCCGACACTTGTCCCGTCGGTGGTCCTTAGCACTTTGTCCCGTCGGTGGTCCCCGACACTTGTCCCGTTGGTGGTCCCCAACACTTTGTCTCGGATACCCTTATTTTAACTTAGTCTCATGTGGTTCCCGGTGCCCTCCCTCAAGGTGTCCCACGTTCTTTTGGCGTGTACTGCCCTATGGTGGCCCTGTTTCCCTCATCTTTTCTCGGGCCTTGCGCGGGCCTCCAATCTGTGGTTCACGTTGATTGTCATCGGTGGCCCCTATGTTGGGCCCTTATTCTCTAGCGCCCCGCGGCCACCAAGGCCGCCCACCCCTCGGCTTCCTTATTCTCTTGTCGTCCATCGTGCCGCATTTGCAAGGTTAATGGCCCCTTGGCCTTCGTTATGCGGAATTCCAATGGCCCTCCTGGCCTCATGATATGCCACTATGCGCCCCTGTCCTAGCGCTTACTTGCTTGTTGTTGCTGGTTCTTTCTCCCTGCGATTCTCAACCGAGGGCATCATTCCCTCCGACGGTCCCGTCCTAGTCCTTTGTCTTTTCTCTCGCTTGTCTCCTTACTCCGGATTTCTCTGTCGTGCACAATTTGGCTATATACAGGCTCTCAAGTGCCAAGGCGTTATTCGTGATCCACCGGTCCCGACAACGTCCTCCTCTATCTCTACCTGTGGGCTCACCACGCCCTCCTCACTCCGAACCTGTGCATTGTAACCCACCCTCTCCACGTCCTCGTCTCTCTCAATCTGCGTCCTCACCACACCCCCCTCTCTCTCAACCTGCGCTCAATCGTCCGCCCGTGCTCTCTCGTGCAGCATAGACGACAACCCTATCCCCACTGCTCCTGCTACCTCGTCCTCCATACCCCGAATACCCTCAACTCCGCCCGCTCCGTGCTCCTCCGCTCGTCTATCCCTCTCCTCCACCACTGGCTTCGAAACGAGTTGATGGGCTACGCTAGACAATGATCCATGCCCGCGCATGCGCAACGAGGATCCCAAGTCCTCCCTCCCAACTGGTGTGGGTGAGCGCTCGTCAAGCCAAATGCGAGCGGATGCTGCGACTGAATAACGAGGAAGAGCCAACAGCTACGAGGGTCCGGACTGCGTCGTGGGAGTACTCGTCTGCTCCCGCGTGCTCGTGGGAGCAGGCGTCTGCTCCTGCGCGGGCGCGGGAACAGTCGTCCGCTCCCACGCTGTCGTGGCAGGACGCAGCTCCTCCCTCGCAGTCGTGGGAGCAGGCATCTCCTCTTGCAAGGTCGTGCAAGGAGGCGTGTGCTCCCGCGCGGTAGTGGGTGATCTCTCCTCCATTCCCCTGAAAGACCCCCAAAGCTCCTCCTCCACCCCCATCATATCTACGTCTGCCTGCTTTGCTGCCCCCCGCGCGGTGTGCGTCCTCTCGACACCCCCGTCGCCCTCCTCGTGCAACTCGTCAACGTCGTGCGGGATGGGAAGCGCGGGGTCGTCTGTTGCTTCCGGCTCCCTCTCGTCCGCAGAGGCATCGTCCCTGGGGTACGGACGGAAGATAGCCGCACGAGCACCGAAAACAGACTCAATAGGGGGCGGCACAGAGGACCCGATGGGATCGCGCGTAATGAGGGCAGCCTGCTCCTCGATCTCCTTCTCTGTCATCCCACTCCTCGTCCCCGACCGTACAGGCTCCACCTCCAATCCCGCCTGAGCTTCAAGCATACCCTCGTCTCGCTGCCAAGGGAGGACGTATCCACAACCTGCACGTTTATACTCCATCAATCGCATATTTGCGGTGATCTCAACAAGATGGACGACCTTCTCGAAGGCCAAATGATTACGCTTCTTCGTATGGATGCCCTCGTGGACCGCCCAGTTCCTCTCCGCTGGAGTGGCGCAGGACCACGTGCATCAAATGAAGGGCGCAATACTATAAATCACGCGCGTCTCCCCCGTACTGAGACCACCACGACGCACACTCCATCGTCTCGCAATCCCCGCTGCAACTACGCGCTCGAGCGCGGCCCTTTGCCCCGCCCCAAGTCCCATACCTACCCTGCTGCATGTGGACGTCCTCGAACTGCCGACATACCTCAAGGTAACGAGCACTCGACTCGTTGAAGCCCGTCTGAGACAACAGATACCTCTTGGCTTGTCGAACAACCCAAGTGTGGTACTCGTCGAGCTTCGCGGAGAAGTACTAAACATCCCGACGACGGGGGTTCAGTAAGAACGCCGTGCAGTGTGCAGGCTCCATCATATGCTGTATACAAGCCTGCACACGCCTCATGACACGGTCAAAAAAGGAGGGGCCAAGAGGGATGCAAGCGTCCCGCACGAGGCGTGCAAGATCCTGAGTCCACTCTACAACGAGGGACATGAACTGCCCGCCACGGTCCATCCGCCTCAGCAAGTCCATGACGGGATCCATGACGTGCTTGATGGCCCGCATCCTCTCCCACAAAGGGGACCACCTGATCTGTCGGCGCACCCAACGCGCCATGTCGCGGACGTCGGGGAACCATGGAATCCTAGCCCAAGCTCACCCGTCCTCCGCTGTCATCATGCTCTGCAAACGATCCTGCAGAGCCAGCAGCCTCTCCAACGTGGAGTACACCGACGCAAATCGCGTCTCGCATGAAAGTACGAGCCCCAATACCTGACTACGTTTCCGGAAGAAGCTGAGAGCGACCTGGTGGGTTTTGAAAAACACCACCAGAACTCGGGCACGCGTGATCGTGTCCACGAGAGAGGTGCAGATCGTGCCAATGTCTAACAACCACTTGTTGCAGACATGGACATAGCACGAGAGCCAAGTAATCCTCCTCAGCTCAGGGGGGACAACTGTCGAGGCCAAAGCCCTCGCAGCCCCCACGTACGCAGAGGCGTAGTCAGTGCATATAGCATTGACCCACTGTGGGCCACCGAACCTGAATCCGTGAAAGATGGTGACCCATCTCCGCAGGACGTGTGGTGACCCATCTCCGCAGGACGTGCACCGCATCGTCCGGCTCCCCCTCTCGGTTGATCGTCGTGTACATGACGACCCCTCGAGACCCAGCTGCAAGGAAGTTCATGATCGGTCGCCCGTCTCGTGACTTCCTCCCGTCAGAGAGGAGGGTGGCGCCACTCACCCATAATGGCTGCCTCACCTCCTCCAACTCCTCCGCCAACTCCGTGTGGTGGATTTCCACAGCTCGCATGCTTGCGATCTCGCTGTGGGAGGGAAGCACGGGAAGAGGTCCTCCACCAGGATGTTGAAGAGCAACTTGCTGAAGAGCAACCTGCTGAAGATCCCTCCACGGCGTGTTGCGGAAGGCATTGAAGGCAATCCCGCTGGAATACGCCCAGCGAAAGAATGCCTTCCTCCAACGACCAATCCACTCGCCACCATACGTGTCCGTTACCTTCTGCTGCCGCAGCCTCTTCCTGGCCTTGGTGGCAGAAAGATGTGCACCCCCGTCCTTCCTCTTGGAAGAACCCGGTGTGCATGCTGTCTCAGGAACGAGAGTCTTCGAAGAACCCGGCGTGCATGCTGTCTTAGGCCGGAGGTGTTTCTTCCCCCAGCTCCGCTCCTTGTCCACCGCCCTCTAACGACTCACCGGATCAAACTCGGGCACGCCACCCTCTCCCCTCGGCGTTCGCTCCCCCTCAACCACGCCAACCTCGAGGTCGACGTCCGTCTCGTCCTCCTCCGCGGCACCCCCACCCTCCCCATCTCTCGCAACACCTCCCTCCGCAGAATGCGGGGTATCCTCTCCCTCGCCCACGCCCTTTGCAGGACGCTCCGCCTCGCCACCCATCGCACCAAACCGAGGGACATCGAGACCACGCTCCTGTGCGTACCGCCGGACCCTCTCTACCTGGTCGATCTCAAAGCGGTGTGTGCATTTCTGCGCAATCTGGAACAAGGCTTCGTCGGATACCTTTTTGCAATAGTTTGGTTGAGTGAAGTGTTTCGTTGCGTAGTACTGGGTTCCCTGCCAAATCTTATTGCAGAAGGTGCACTGTAGCATGTTAACCCCCTTGTTGTCGACCTTCTGGCCGACGACAATGTAACGGTACACAACAGCCTTTCGCCAGAAATCCTGCTGCACATGTCCAGGCGCAGGCTCATGATCGCGCGTCTGTTTGCGAGGCATTTTGAACCCCCTTCAACCCCCCGCCCGTCCGACCGTAAAAACCTCCCCTCCTGCCACACGCCCCGACAACCACTTGATAGCACCTGCATCACCACAAAAAAAAAAAAAAAAAAAAAAAAAAAAAAA